ATGCCTGTGTGGGCCCCAAGGATCCATCTCAAGATCAGGAGGAACAAGAGCCCAGTGACCTTGACAGGCAGCTCAGGAGGTTTCTGGCTCCTGCTCCAGAGGCCCAAGATGAGGACGTGGCAGCACAGGGAGGCCCAGGGAATGATGAGCTCAGGGACACCTGTTAAACTGCACTTTCCCATTTCCAGACCTGCAAGTTCCTGAGACCAGTTGCAGAAACCAGCATGTTTTACTAGCTCCCAGACGGTTCTAATGGAGAATGTCCCAGGAGGGTACTCTTAGCTGGGCTATTTGTAATCTACGGCAGCTGCCTCACAACAAAGAGTGTGTTCATGGAGAAAAGGAAACTGGGCACTGAGGGGTCAGAAGCAGATGGCAGATCATTGGGAATATGTGAAAAATTATGGCACCTCCATATATAATATTACAGACCTTTCTAAGGGAAAAAGCAGGCTTCTGAGAAATGACCCAGAGATTGTCTATGATATTAAGCGTACAAAACCAGGGAACGTTAACAGTACACATAGAACAAGCAATCACATCTTGTGACATACATGTTACAAACATACACATGTATATCCCTTTGTGCATATGTGCACAACTGATGGCTGGCAGATGGATCCCTAATCCATTAGCACCTGTGAGCCCTGAGCAGGTGGGAGAAAAGGGCAGGATGTTCTGGCCCTGAATTATATGCTCTGTATCCTTTTTTCTCTTTACGATAAGCACAGGTTATGATTTACTATTATCCTATTTCATATTTGATGATATAAATTATTTTCCTTTTTCTAAGTATATCAGTATTATGGTTATACTTCAAAAGAGGCAATATTTTTTAGAGATAGTGATCAGAAAACAGAACCATCTGGGATTTGCTTCAAAACAATTCGGAGATGGGGGAGTGGGTGAGTGGGAAACGGGGGGAGCTGCTGTTTTATTCCCTGCTCTTGGAATGTTGAAGAATTAAAAAAATGTTTTTAAAAAGATAGTTTCATTTTTGGAAAAGTAGGAACCAGCCTTAAAGGAGATAAAGACTTGAAAAGCCCAGGCTCGCAGCAGAGAAGACAGTGGGGATAGGGGTAGGAGGGCTGGAGCCAGGCCTGAACAGCTTGCTGGGCTCTGCCAGGATTGTTCTGGATCCTCTCCACCCAAACTAAAAGACCTCCAACCCTCCAGGTTAAAAATGGGGGTTACAAGAGCTCTGCCACACTCCTGCTGCATTCACCAAGAAAAAAAAAAAAGTTGCTACAAGACCCTCCCCCACCCACCCACACCTATCCGTCAAGCATCTAAGATAGAGGTCTCAGGACTAACAAGTTGATCATAAAAATACCCCAGGATCCCAGACTCAAGGCACCACTGGTTCACAAAAGAGAACAAACCCATGTTTATGTCAATGGCAATTTTGCAAAGCATGTTTCACAGGAAAGTTCAGATGTTTTGACTCACCAGGGAATTCCAAAATGCTTACCATGATCCGAGGTAAATGCAACAATGGTGCTGTTGGCCAGCTGAAGATCGTCCAAAGCACTCAAGAGGCGGCCAACCTGTGTATCCAAATATGACACAGAGGCGAAGTAGCTCTGGCGGATTTTCCGCTGCAAATTAAAAAACATAATAATGAGAGTGACTGCAATTTAAATTGCCATGGCATACAGAGATAATGCTTGCCTGAGTATCTCTCCCAATCCCAACCCCTTAGTTGATGCCCTTAATGATTTTCTCAGCCAAAATGTAACACTCCTTTTCCTACCGTCTGCATCGCTTCACCCACGGAGTCACAGCAAAATCTGTAGGTCTACAAATAAGATACATTTCTAAGCAAATCAGATTTCACTTTAGGGCACAGATCACAGTGGATGAATGTGTCACCTACTGCTCCTTTCTGTCTCCCTCACATATTCTGATGGGTTCCAAGAGATGAACATGTACACAGAAACTGATCCTACAGTCCCTTGAAACACAGGCCCACACATGCTCTGATAAAGGTCACAAAGATACAATTCAGTTCTGTTAATTTCCTGCGGCTGCCATAACAAAATATCACAAATTGGGTGGCTTAAAACAACAGATATGTATTGTCTCCTAGCTCTGGAGGCTAGAAGTCCAAGATCAAGGTGTTGGGAGGGCCATTCTCTCCCTGAAGGCTCTAAGTAGAAGCATCTTGCCTCTCCCTAGCTGCTGATGGTGGCGGTCAGTCCCTGGCATCCCTCAGTTTGCAGCTGCATCACTGTGTCTCCATCTTCATGTGTTCTTCCAGTGTATCTCTCTCCCCTCTTCTTAAAGGACACTGATCATATTGGATCAGGAGCCCACCTTACTCCAATATGACCTGATCTTAACTAATTACATCTGCAATAAACCTATTTCCAAATATGGTTACATTCTGTGGTACTGGGGGGTTAGGACTTCAACAGCTCTTTTCAGGGAAAAAAATTCATAACTTAACACATAACAACCACCCTGAGTGAGCCTTTCCCTCTGATCACTTTCTAACCCAACAGCAGATTACAACTGCATATTTTCATGGACCATGGCCGTTACATGGAGCTCATTTCTAACAAACTGTCAGCAGGCAGAAGAGCAAGGAAGAGACCAGAGAGCAGCACGTCCTTCACAGTCCCTGAACCCAAGAGGGGCTTTGGGAACAGCCAGATCATACCCTGAAGTAAGCGAGCCACCGACCCCTCCTGGGCTCTCATCCCCAGCCTGGTTCACAAATGCTAAGAACAAAGATTAATCCTCTACCCCGAAGAGGGGTGAGAAGAAAGCCATGACTTCTCAGACCAGTCCCTGACTTATCATCTGGACCCACCAGCTTCTTCTTATCACTGCCAGGGTGAGGACAATCATAAGATTCACCCGTTCTCACTTGCAGCCAAGAGAAAAGATACACCTAACCTTCTAGCAGGATTATGTTGAACCCTGGCCTACTTATACTTTCTGGTAGATGAAGTCTTCAGCCTGAAACGTGTGGAACTTTGGTCCTCCTGGGGAAGAAAGACACCTGTCAGGATGGCTGTGTCCTATACAAAAGTATTCCCTCCTTCCTATGCTAGCCCCTGGATGTAAGGCAATAAGCAGACAAGGTCCTCAACCTTGATGAACCACCCCATCCAGTGAGGACACAATCATGGAGACAAGAAAATGTTTAATTATCAGTGAGGCCTGACGGGTCTGTCCTGCAGACCCTGGCCTATGGAGGAAATGAGTACTCAGACACAGGCATGCAGTGTAAGAGCAGCTAGGTGACTGCCTAGCTCTAGTGGCGAGAGGGCAGCCCCGAGAAGCTGGAGCTGCTTGCTTTTACTCAGTGCAGGCACAATGCCAAAAACCTGGAGCCAACCTGTAGGTGATTAACATTTATTGTTCTCCTTCCAGGGAACCTCACATGCACAGATGATCAAAGGTCAGCTCCTGGTCAACATAAGTAAACAAGACTGTTTAAGATAAATTCTCCCACACTCCCTTGTACCTACTCCTTGCCCTCTGCCTCAGGGTTATAGAATAGCTGCTTTCAGCTATTCTCCCCTGGGGCTCTGCAGAACCTTCTGACCTTTCAGAAGGTTTGTATCCTTTCCCTATAGTTTTTCCCACCACTCTGACGGATCCCCCACAGAGGCCCAGGGGTGACACAGGGGAATAAGCCCTCAAATCTGCCTGGGAGATTCAGGGAAGGCTTCACAGAGGAGTTAGAATTTGACAAGAAACGCCTGCAGTCAGACAAATGGGGCTCGGATGCTCCAAGCAGGGGCTGCAGGGCACGGAACAGTGTGTTGTGACAGAGTAGCTTGTGTGTGGGGCCAATAAAAGGCTCATGTGACTGGAGAATCAAATGGGAGGGCAGAGGGGTGACTGGAAAGTTAGGTCTGGGCCAGATAATATGGACCTGGTGGGTCTATCCAGGGAGTGGAGGCTCCAAGTTCTAGGCCAATGGAGTCACTGAGGTCTTTCAAGGCAAGAAATTGACATGATCTGGGCTGCAAGTTATTAAGAGTCATGTTGCAACAGGACACAGACACAGATTCCAGAGGCTTTAGACAAAATGGTACTAGGCCACTGCTGGGTACATAAGAGGTGCTCACCACACTTGCTGAATGAACAAAACAAAGCAAGGCCCACTAAAGTGGTCCAGAACAATGTGATGAAGAATCTAGAGGACCATGTGGATATGAGAGGAATTTAGGGGCATCAAGTAGACATGGGGGCAGGGAGCAGAGCAGGAGGAGGTGTTGAGGAACCCCAGGGTGACTCCAGGTTTCACATTCAGCTGGTGGCATAATTCGCTGGCATGTGGGGGCAGGCGGTGCAAGAAGAGGAGGAGGAGGAAGGAGTTCCAGAAGGGGTGGAGCTGGCCAGTGAGGAAGTGACACGGAGCTCAAGGAAGGTCAGGACCCACACAGATGGATTTTACTGGCCACCAAGGTCAGTGCTGAGGTGAAAGTTTAGTGGGTTGGGGAGGTGGAAGCCTGCGTAGAGGACAGAGAAGAACAAATAGACAATGAGGCCACAGACATAGCCAGAAGAGCCCAGTGTGCAGTCGTTCTGCCTTGGAGGTCAGGTGAGGGAGTGGAAAGCAGAAACAGGCAGGGGCAAGGGGGCTGGCACTTTTGCAGCTGAGAGGGATGAGAGCGGATGGAGAGGCTGCAGGGAAGGTGGGTGAGAAGGAAGACCTTGCTCTTTTTGCTTGCAGACGTGGGAAGCAGGGACAGTGGTGAGGAGTCGAGGGAAGAGGCCTCGAGCCCAGAACATGCAAACACAAAATTCCAGATCTCAGTGACGGAGATTATTAATAGAGCCCATTCAACAAGTACACACTAGGTGGCATCTGATCCTCTGAATGGCACATTAAGGACTCCAAGACTCAGAAGGGTTAGTTAACTTGCCCAGAGTCACACAGTTGATAAGGGGCACAGCCAGAATGTGTACCCACATCCACCCCATCCGATCCCCTACCTCTGCCTATCCACCAGCCTCCATTTCTACAAGAGGAAAGGTGCTGTCCACTGAGAAATGGGGCACAGTGGTGGCAAAGGCCTGGAGGGGAGCAGTGAAGGGGAGTAGGGAAGAGGTCATACAAACAGAGCAGCTGCAGAGGACAAGTGAGGTGAGCTGAGCAGAGAGCTTGCCTGGGCTGCTGGGGCTGGAGGCGGGGTATCTGAGGGCCTCCTGCTTCGTGGGGGCGTGGATTTTCTCCAGCAGCTTTCAGGACTTGGACTGGAGAGCAGAGGGTGTGGTTGGACTGTCTGACGATAAGGGTATTGCAGGAGGGGCAAGGATAAATGGACAAGTATGGTGAGCTAAGCAGCTGGGAAGAACAGTAGTCACCTACCACCAGGCCTTAGCTATTTAGGAAAGCAACAAAGCCAACAGGCCCTGGACACAAGGGGGAGATAGAAATGCATATTCTGGCAATCCCCGTGAGGTGGAGCAAGGGAGGTGCTAGAAGAGGTTGTGGTCAGTGTGGTGACTCAGAAGCAGCAGGCAACAAACTCCTGAGTGTGGCCCCTGAGGTCACTGGCTCATGTGGAGCTGAGTTAGAGGGCTGGAGCTGAAGAGAGCCCAGAGCTCAAGAGTGCAGTGAGATGGGCGTGGATGCGGACATCCAAAGCTGCCAGAGGACAGTGAACAGGCCCAAGTTCAAGCGGAATACAGGGCTGGGATCAGCATGTGCATGCATCAGGGAGGCCCTCTGAGTCATGCTGTCCACTGTGTCTAAGGAGGGGACTAACAGAACTTGAAGGAGACCGCTCTGTGCAGCCGAAACGGTCCTAGATACTTCTACATGCTCTCTTTGATTCTTGCTGAAAATCTCTAAAGTACGTGTTATCATGGAAAAATTTTACCTACCTTGTTTCAATTTTATAGAGAAGAAAACTCAGGGAGGCTCAGGGAGGTAACATGACTTGACAGAGGTTAGGCAACTGGTATGGGGTAGAACATGAATTCGAACCCACACTGCTGGGAACCAACAGATCCAACCATGGGGCTTTGGAGTTACAGTCCCTGGGGATGAATCGGCTCCACCTAGTACTAATTTTGTGCTGTCAGACAAGTCAGCACACCTCTCATGCCTTGAGTTTCCTCCCCTAGACAACAGAGAGCAGGTACCTCACTAAGTCCCCATAAGGACTAAAGGTAATACCACACATGAATCAGCGCCCTTCCTGGCACACAGTCCATTTTGAAGGGTCGTTTTAAGTGACCATCACTAATAAAGCATCCAGGTGCAGCCTCAGGGCCAGTTCAAGCCACTTCATCATCAGTAGCCCAGAAACACAAAATTAGAAAAAAAACAGATGGATGCATTGCTTTCCAAACTCTCAGTGAAACCAGAATCAAATGGATTTGAGGAATGCACACCTCTCACCACCCACACTCTTGTTGTGCAATCTCAGGGGCCAAGTAAGTTTGGATAGCAAGGGATATCTGTATACGGTGGTTTTATTGTGTTTGTTTTAAACAATACACTACAGCAGAGGCTCTCAAACTTCTGATGAATCAGAATCACCTGGTGTGCTTTTTTTTTTTTTTTTTTTTAAAAGAAATGTCGGTTGTCAGGTCAGGTTCCACCTCCAGCTTCCAACTGTGTAAATCTGAGTGGGCCAAGACTTTGCATTCCCAACAAGCCCTCCCAGAAATTCTAAGGCAGGTAGTCCAGGATGCATACTTGGAAAACCCTGCCATCTTCCATTCACTATAGCTTGCCTGCCACAGCATTCATGTGGTAAGAGAAGGGCACGGTTCTGTGTGGAATATTGCAGAAAGAGCATTAGTCAATGTGTATTCTGCTCTCCAGGGAGAAAGGGTGATTGATGAGTCAGTGTGAGGATTCTAATTATGTGGTTGCTCTGCCCCTAAATCATGGCAAAGGAATGCCAGACATCACAACTGGATGGCACTGGCCATGATGGTGTCCCAGTTCCCTCTGCACCAAGGTCCTGCTCACCAAGCCACCCCCTGAGAGTGACAGCTAGCCAGGGTGGGCTTTTCCCACAAAGGGAACCTGCAAGTACCAGCAAACCAAGCATTCTGGGCTGCTCGGGAGTTGCTCATCACTCTACAATTAATGAGCTATCACCTAAATTAAACAGTATCCCCCTTGGTTAGGAATGGTCACCCAGGCTGCTTCCCCACTCATGTCCACAAGCAACAAGTCACCAACTCTCTGGATATTCCCTTCTTTAGAAGGTAAGACACTGGCTGGGAGAGTTCTGATCCATGCAACACTGCCTGTGTCCTAAATACCTATAGGACACCTCCACCCCAGCTCTTTGCCCGATAACTCACACAAAGAAAGCTCTTAATAAGACATTATAGATGGAGTTGTGTCCACTGAGAAGAGTGGTTTCACCTATGACACTATGTCATCAGTGTCCAATACATCCTCCAACTATGTCCTTGATACCTGAAACTCCACAGGAATTGGGCCATATGGCACACTGATGTTTAAGGCTTGGACATCTTCCCGTTGCCTGATGTCCATCCAGGGGTTGTACGCCACAGGGGGTAGGCCATCAGGGACCTCGGAATCGGGGGCCAAGGTGATGTTCTCCAAGGGATACAACTTCTGAAATTCCTTGGGGAAAAACACAAAGCCACAAAGTTGTCACTGTTTTAGCAAAAGCACAAGGTTGTGGCTCTATTAGTATCTATGCTGCCTTTTCTCTAAGCCTGTGATGCATTTACATGGTGGCTCACTAGCATTTCCCACGTGCTCATCCCTGACCTGGAAGTCCAGCCTTAAGTTACTCTCATGAGATGCCAATGGCAATGAAATCATACGACTTCTGTTTCCTACAAACTGAGCAGCAACAGCTCTCTTCCTTCATACAAACAGATGCCCTTCTGTTCCTGTCCCCACCTCCTGCCTGGCTAGAAAAGTGTCGTGAGGTGTTGGGTTCCCAAAATCACCCTCAGGTTCAGTAATTCACTAGGGAACTCATAGGATTCAGCATTTAGTCTCACTCACAGCTATGATTTATTACAGTAAAACACACTCAGCAAAGAAAAAAGGACATGAGACAAAGTCTAGAGGAAACTAGGCACAAGCTTCAAGTCCTCTTCCAGGGAAGTCACATAGGATACACTTACTTCTCCCAGCAATGAGTTGTGTGATAATACATGTGAAATGCTGCTAACTAGGCAAACTCATTAAAGCCTCATTATCCAGTTTTTATTTGGGGCTGGTCAGGTAGGCATTGTCTGTCTGAAACATAACAAAATGCCAGACTCCCAGAAAAAAAAAACAAAACAGGGGTTCATCATCAACCACAATGTTTGTCTAAACAGTTTAAGCATAGTAAGTCAATTCTGGGAGTAGTGGGAACACTCTGGAAATCAAAGTTCCCAGATGCCAGCCAAGGGCTAGACTTATAAGCAGGCCTTTCAAAGAATCACAGCCAGGTCAGCTTTGTTAACTGTTGTCTGCAAAGAGGCAGGAAAGGTGAACCTCACAGCCTTCTTCTATCAAGGGGGCTGACAGCTCCTACTAGGAAGGCAAGATCCCCTGGGCCAATCAAAGCAAGACACCTGCAGCATCAAAAAGCATACCGCTGGTCTCTACTCTCATTACATGTGAGGGGCATTCTCTGCAAAGTCAAAAGGATGGGATACTCAGGCCCTCATAAAACATGATAGGGAAAAATGGAAAAGGATTCTAAAACAGAAAAGACTACATGCTCTAAATGACATACAAGCAAGTACAGGATTTGAGGTTCCAAGAAGCAATGCAGTGCTTTGTGTTTACACGATCTAACCTGACAGGCTCAGGGGGAACAGGCAGTTTTTAAAGAGGGCTTCATATTCCCTGGGGCTGTTCTGCAAGGGCCATCCCTTATTACAGGCCTTGGCAGCCAGCTCTGATTCACTTCTCTGTGGTGATCTCGCCATCAAACAACATGTGCTTGGTAAGTTCAAGGAAAGGAAATCAAATCCTCCAGTGGAGGGAAGTGGAAAGCCGAGCATTTCTTACAAGACTCTTACATATTCTTGGCCTTGGCCTCTAAATCCCATCTTCACTCCACTGAGGACACTAGTGCCCATCAGGCATCCATGATGCCTGGGGATGGCAGGATGTGGCCACCTTCCCTGTGCAAATCCCTCCCTTAACAAACAACACAGCTGTGGTGGCTGTGCTGGATCAGCCCTCAACCAGCTCTTCACCTTGGGGTATCTGAAGGGGATGTGTGGCTTATGATACCCAACGGCCAGGAAGAAAGGACTGGCTGACGTTTTCATCTTTTCCAACAACTGTATGGCTTGCTCAGTGCTCTGTTTGTCAGGCAAGGTGCCCTCGGGCACATCCACCACATCCACAGGGCAAAGCAGGTTGGCATGGAGTTCTCCGTCTGGCCCTCGACATGTCTTTCAAAACAAAATATATAACATCAGCTTTTTAAGTGCAAGAAATGGAAGCCATGAAGGCTACACACACAGATTTAATGTTCACATAATCAGCCCTTCATGTGTTATTCAGACTGAACAGAGACATCAGAAGTAGAATTAAAACAGAAAAGTATTTCTTGATTTCCAGGCAGGGGCCAGAAATCCACCAGCACTTAGTTTCTTGCCACTAATACTCTTTCTCCATATCATAACTAATTAAAAGAAACCCCAGTAGCCTATTAAAAAAAATCCGTCTCTAATTCAACAATAAAAAAATGCCAATTAAAAATGGGCAAAGGATTTGGATAGACATTTCTCCAAAGATGATATACGAATGGCCAACTGAACATGGAAATGTGGTTAACATCATTAGTCATTACGGAAATGCAAATCAAAACCACTTCACACCCAATAGGGTGGTTATAATTTTTTAAGATGGAAAATAACAAGTGTTGATGAGGATGCAGAAAAATTAGAACCCTCTCACATTGCTGGTGGGAATGTAAAATAGTGTAGTCACTTTGAAAATCAGTCTGGCAATTCCTTAAACAGTTAAACATAGTTATTATACTGAAGAAAACGAAAAATGTATGCCCATAAGAACACTTGTACAAAAATGTCAAAGGCAGCACTATTTCTAATAGTCAAGAGTAGAAACAACCAAATATCCATCAAGTGATGAATTGATAAACAAAATGTGGTACAACAGACAATTATGTGGCCATAAAAAGGAATGAAAGGCTGGGTGCGGTGGCTCACACCTCTAATCCCAGCACTTTAGGAGGTGAGTGGATTGCCTGAGGTCAGAAGTTCGAGACCAGCCTGGCCAACCTGGTGAAACCCCGTCTCTACTAAAAATACAAACATTAGCTGGGTGTCGTGGCGGGCACCTGTAATCCCAGCTCTTGGAAGGTTGAGGCAGGAGAATCACCGCTTGAACCTGGGAGGTGGAGGTTGCAGTGAGCTGAGATAGCGCCACTGCACTCCAGCCTGGGTGACAAGCGTGAAACTCTGTCTCAAAAAAAAAAGAGGAATGAAGTACCAATTTATACTGTTATGTGGTTGAACCTCAAAAACATTATTCTAAGTGAAAGAAGCCAGAAACAAATGGCTACATAGTGTATGACTCTATTTATACCAAATGGACAAAATACGCAAATCCATGGAGACCAAAAATAGTTCAGTTGTTGTTCCAGGCTGGGTGCTGAGACAAAATGAGGAACAACTGGTAATGGGTACATGGTTTCTTTTGAGAGTGATAAAAATGGTCTAAGATCGATTTGGTGTAGCTGCACAACTCTGTGAGTATACTAAAAACCATTAAATTGTATACTTTAAAAGAGAGAGCATTATGGTATATGAACTCTATTTTAATTAAAAAATTAAAAAGAAAAAAAACCATTTCAAATTACAAAGACAGGTTAAGGCTTGTAAATGACAGGGTCCTAGTCAACTTGATAAGGTGACAGTCCATGGAATTTCCAGATCTTCAGCTACACTAGGCACAGAATGAAACCTCCTGCTTTATTTCCCAAAGTAGACATGTTGGCCGTGAGACCAAAGTTAGTTTTGACCATGATTTGTATATCACAAAGACCAAGGGGCTGTGTTAGCTGCTGTTCCATCTCAAAGAGTGTTGCTGCCTTTTCACAGCCCTGCCTTGCTCACCCCACCCTTGGGCAGGACAGCCCAGCACCCGCCTCAGACCACTTGTTCATCATCTATATATACGCAATTTGCAGCACTCGAGGGAGATTTGGTGTTGTCAGATCCGCCACTTTGAGAAGAAATGGGTAGGGGGGCAGTTAGGGCAGGGACCTGGCGTTTGTAAGTGAGGCCACTAAAAAGGAGCAAGACGGCTTCAGGGAATTAAGATGGGATCTTCCCTATTCAAGCCACACGCCAAAGGCCAGAGCTCACAGTTTTCACTGTATTCTGAAATGGAAAGCTGTCAGGAATTTAGAACAATACCTTCCACCTCACCTCCAAACCCTCACCCTTCCCAATATGTTTACTAAAACCTCAGAGGTACATTTCATTTCTCAGTTCCCCAGTTGGTTTTCTGAGTTTCTTTAAATGTGGGTTTTAGTTTCATTTATATATTTGGGTTTCCTCTAAACCAAGATTTTCTTTGTAGGTTACTTTTTTTCATAATGCTCTAAAAATTTTAAACCCCTATCAGATGTCTCAGCTGCTGAACATACACATTAGGTCTGAGACAGATACACGGCATGCCTCTCTCCCATTCTGGGCTAAGGCTCCTGGAGCTCAGCCTCTTTTCTCCCTCCCATGTCTCAGCATCTCCTACAACTCTCAGTCTCATCCAGAGTGAGCATTGGGGAGCTATTCAATGATTCTGATACGTTAGAGCCCAAGGTTTTAGAACAAGTAGCACCCACCAGCTTCTAGAATGAAGCCACTGCTCCTGTCAGGCCTAATGCTGAACTTACTTCTGTCAAGACATTATCACAAATGAAACCCACAACTTTGCGGTATATAACCAGCTTCACAGAACATGCAGTATACCCAGTAGTTTATGTGACAAAGGAAAAAGTGGTTCCTCTTCAGAAATGTCCCTTTCACAGCCTTACCTTAGTGTTTTCATACTTCTCAGAGGAAGGATGATAAGGTGGAAAAGACCAGCTATACGGAGAATCATCGGTATGGTTAGAAGTTATCCCTTGGAAAAAAAAAAAAAAAAAGTCATTAAAACATGACAAAAAAGTTGTTAAAACATGACATAAAAAAAAAAAGTTGCTAAAACACTCCCCATAACTAAAACTCTGTAAACAAAAGGGCAAGTGGAACCTCCCTTCTTCGGGGCTGTTTCCTCATCTATAAAAGTCCCCTCTAAAGCCAAACTCTCTAGTTTCTATTTGAGAACTGAGCATCTGACTTCCTGGTCCCTAAGCCCTAATGATTTGTGATAGGCTCTGTGGAAGGGACCCACAAGGACAAGAACAGTCAGCTCCTTAGAGCCCATGCTGAAACCTATCTCTCACCCTATGAAGGAGGCAGCAGAGGCATCAGCACCACCAGGGAGTTGATGGGGGCAGGAGAGGGAGGCTCAGGGAAGGGATGTGCCTTACCCGATGCTAACCAGATATTAGATAAGGCAGCCAGGACTCAAAACCATGTTTTAGAACTCCAAGTTCAAGTGCTCATTCATGAAGCAGAAACCCACCCTTAAGCTTAGTAGTTTATAGTTTATTTGGGAAGACAATATAGTAGTACTGGAAACCAAGGAAGGACTGCCAGCTTTCAGAAGCATCGAAGAGCCAAGTGGGGGATCCTCCAAGCACAGAGGTTATTGTGAGTCAGGTGAGGACTAGCAGGGAGGACTTCTAGAAGCCAGTAAGGCCTGTGAGGGATCTGAAGGGAAGTGTTGCCTATAGTGGTTAGCCAGGAGTGGAGGGGATCACAGGCAGAACCTCGCGAGAAAGCATCAGCAGCAGTCACACAGTGGGACTCCAATAGGGAGCACCAGAAGAGGCAGGAATGCAGAGAAAGAGGGCAGCGGGTGGAGGACCTATGAACACAGCAAGCACTGTGGAAAGAGCACACAGGAGGCCAACCACCACAGGTCCAAATCCGGATGCTGCCTCTTAGCATCCCTGCAACCTCTGGCAAGCTACTTGACTCCCATGAGCCTCCATGTCTTCCTTGGGAAACGATGATGATGATAAAAACCCACCTCGCTTGCTGTTGGGAGGATTAAAGGAGTGGCCAGCATGGTAAACGGCACATACCTGGCACTCAGTGGTGGCTACTGTCATCTTGAAGCAGGCCCAATGCTAACAGAAAAAGGTCTTGAAAACAAAGACTCAGCTGAAAAATGTGTTCCCACAAGGGCTGCCGGAAAAGGTTTATTCTCTGGGAAGGACATGGCGCTTAGAGCCTGATGCCAAAATCGAATCATCAGGAGGGAGGACGTCAAGCAACATCACTCAGTCCTTGCCTGGCTTCCCCTCCCAAAGCACAATCTCCACCCTCTGCTGTGTTTCCTCCTCTCTCCAAAATCATCACTTCCCTGCAGCTGCATTCAGGCAAGGGGTGTGGTAATGAGAACAACAAACTGCAGAAAGTTCTCCTGACACTGGGCTTTTGGCTATGCAATATGATTCGCGACAGGTTCACCTCTGAAACTGGCCTGACTTAGTAGAGCTGAATGTTACTCTCAACCTGGGCTGACCAGCCTGACCAGCTGGGTTCCTGCAGAAGGCTGCCAGGCTTGCCAGTGTAACCACTGAGCAAAGGGAAAGAGACTGAAAACATTCAAGTCGTCATTCCCAAATGATAAGCATTATTGTCCCTATGGTGCTCTTGTCTTCCAATACTTTTTTCTCCATTTTTCTCAAATACTCATGCATTACTTCTATAAATAAAAAGTTTTAAAGTTTGTTTGCTTTTCACTATCCCCATATTGGCATTAAAGACAGCCAGTTTATCAGGTAGCATTTGAGGTAAGGAATGTCCATCTCTGGCACCCTATAGGTCCTGGGTACCAGATTATACTCATCTTTCTGACTTAATTTCCAGAGTGGGTAGCAGCCCCCGCCTAACCACTGCCCCCTCACTGGGCAATCAGTTAGCAACAGCAATACTGGCCACATGGGAGGCCTTCAGGTGTCCTTACCGCACCCCTAGATTTACTGACAGGTACCTTGCAAGGAAGAGGGTGGGGCCCTGAGCTGGACTCCACCCAACATTGCCACCTCTCCAGCCTGTGTCCTCCCTACCACCTGAGGAGCTGAAGGACCCAACAGCACACCCTCAGTGGTTTCTGAAAGGAAGCAAAGCTCTTTCTACCCTTTT